AGGCGTTCGACCGGTTACCCTATAAGATACTGCTCTTCAAACTCCAGACCTTTGGTATTGGGGATGCTCTCCTAGGATGGATCAGAAGTTTTCTGTTACACCGTCACATAGAAGTACGTGTGCGTGAATCGCTGTCAGATCCCATCCGAGTTGAATAAAGAGTACCACAGGGATAGTTACGAGGACAGCGCTTATTTTTGACGTATTTTAACGATATCACAGGCCTCATAAATTCGAACTACCTTCTTTATGCCGATGACATGAAGGTGTGGATGGCAATAGATACACCAGATGATATCACAGTACTTTAAGCTGATCTGGATAGGGTATACGCGAGGTTAATCCAGAATCTACTTCGATTCAATGTGTACAAATGTAGAGTGCCACGCTTACAGTACAAGTTGCTGCATTCCTACAAACTCCGCAACCAGGAGCTTCAAGCGTTATCTGGCGAGAAGGATTTGAGCGTTTTTGTCCAGGTTGACATTGGATGTTCGAATCAGACTGAAACATCATCAAGCAGGGGCATCCAACACGGCATACGGCCTGAAACCCCGATGTTCATACAACAGCCTGAAAATTCTTCCTCATCTTTCACAACTATCCTAGTATTTTTGACAAACCTTCGTTCTCTTCATTCTAAGATCCACACACTACACTCATTTCTTTTGGTGAATAATCATGATATCCTATTTATAACTGAATCTTGATACCATGATGACACGTTTGACAACCAGTTAATTATTTTCGGATACGACATGTTTATGAGAACTCGGACTAGTCCTGGAGGTGGTGTCTGTTATCTGAAAAAATCGCTCGCAGCATCAACATTCAAGAACCCTGGGCTGAATGATGTCCAGGAATCATTATGGCGCACGATATCTGTCAATCAGCAGCAGCTGCTTACGGGATGTACATGCAGCGCGCCAAACTGCAGCCATGATGAGTTAGAACTTTTGACTCTCGCATTTGATAGCGCCGCTTGCCTACCACTTATACGCAATATTATTGGGGTTAATTTTAATCTGCCGTCGATTTCATGGACCATGGAACCGACCCTTTAAAATGCCAAAATCTTATCTCTTGTATCCAAACGAATGGCTGGCAGCAACACGTCTCCCAACCTACTAGAGGTGCAAGCACTCTGGATCTCAGCGTTAACGTTCTTATTGAATTTCCGGGGAGCGATTATCGCGTGGTCAAAGGCCGCCTAAGACTACGCATGGCCGAAGTACAGAACGCAATGCATTATAGCCTGTACAGTTCTGTCAACTGGAATTCGTTCAAGGACCTGGTTCGCTCGATGAATTGGGATAACTTCTTGCTCGCTTCATGTCCTCAACAAGTGACAGACCTGTTTTATGGTATAATTGGCTTCTGTATCGATGCAGAAATACCACTACAATGTGCTTATCAAACTAAACATAAATCAGATCACAAGACCTTGAAGGCAGCACGAAGGCTTCATAAGCTTTGGCAGCAATTTAGCTTAATTGCTTACTTTGCACTATTATTACAGAATTCCAAGGTTGTCGAAGAACAGAGGCATCAAAATGACAATATTCTCATTCTAGAAGAGTATAAAGCTCTGAACGGTCCAAACAAAACCGCTGAGCTAGCCAACCTGTTCCGTGCTCGGGGTTCGCGTTTCAGCGACAATCTCAATTTCATCACCACGCCTGAAGGAACATACCTCGAAGCATCAGGTGATATCTGCGAAGCTTTCAGTGATTATTTTGCCGAATCAATGGTCAATGAATCATCAGATACACCAGAACTTATCATGCCGCACAACAGTGAAAGTCTATGCACAGTGGAATTCACCGTAGCGAAAAGCACTAGTCAAGTCTCTGGCTCATGCTCTTCAACTTGAGCAGGCCCTAATGGGATCCCCCTTGTTTAATAAACAACAGTGTTAGTGACTTCCCTCTGCTTTTGCTCAACATCTGTACACTTTTAACAACGGAGTATATCTTACTCAATGGAAAACTTCTGTCGTTGTCCCGCGACACAAAAGTGGCGCCGCCCAAGGGGTTAAAAACTTTCGTCCCATCAATCACACGCCCATCATATCTAGAATTTTGGAAAGAATAATGAAAGATGAACTAGTTGCATTCTTGAACAAGGCAAACAACATCAGCAATATGCAGCGCAGCTTCATGCAAGGTCAATCCTGCGCAACATACCAGACAGATATTGCAAACCAAACACGGCTGCCAAGGACAACGGAAACAGTGTTGTAATCCTGTTTCTGGATATGTAAAATGCCTTTGATAGAGTGCCTCACAGAAGTTACTGAACAAACTGAAGGCCATAGGCATTGGGGAACCGATGTTTTCTTGGCTGTCTTCATATCTACTTGGTAGACAGCAGGTGATGCGCATCGGTGACCGTTTCTCCAAACCGAAAGCACTCACCACTGGAGTGATTCAAGGAAATGTTCCTGGTCCTGTGCTTTTTCTGATATATATTAACGATATATTGCAGAGAATAAGAAATGGCGTTACGTTTATCTTTGCTGATGGCATTAAAGTTATATACCACAGCAAAGTGAAAATACGCAGGAAGTCATACGTCGCATTCAGGATGACCAAACTCACTTGACTCCTGGTGTCAACTGTGGCAGACGTCATTTTCCGTGGACTAGTATGATCTTTTGTCTTACAAATGCCCAGTACCACCGGATAGTCTATTACTACAAGGCGCATATATCTCGTAATACCGGGCAGTTTGCGACTTGGGCATGCGATATTCAGTTACTTTTAACTTTTTGAACATGGCGACTTTCAAGTTTCAAAGGTCATGAAGACCATCGGATACATTTGCCACTTTTTTGACTCATGGAATCTCGCATGTGGATTCACAAAACATATGTATTGCCTACTATGGAATACTATGCATTGGTCTAGTCTAATCTGCGAAAATCTGACCATCATGCTCTTGAGAGGGTCCAGAGAAGCTTCCTGAAAAAGCTATGTGGATATTCCTCAAACATGACACAGACAGCGATGTGATAAACTTGGATCTGACCAAGTCTGGCCTCAGATAATGAACCTGGACCTATATTTTCTTTACAGGATCATAAACCGTAATATTCACATTATGGATAACAGTTGTCACATATCTTTAAACAGTAGATGCATAACAGAGAGCTAATGGTTATGATTCCAAAGTTTACTACGAGAACCAGAGGTTTCTTTCTTATCCACTACTCAAACAATTGGAACAAACTTCCCAGAGATATCAGAATATGCTATACACTTTGCACTTTTAATCTTGCAATTAGTAAGCAGTTAATCGTCCAAAACGTGGTTAATATGTTTGGGACATTACAATTCCTAGATAAGGCTTTCAAAAATGGTATCAATGGCGCCAGAATAAATTTTCAAAACGCATACACAGCATTTCGGACCACAGCTCCTTTCATTTCAATTCATTTTTTTCTCGGCGCGAACATCTGTCATGAGATTGTGAAAAAGGTCGTTCAACGACAGGCAAAATTAACAGAACGATTCTGATTACTTCGAGTTACCTAAATTTGAAATTGCGCCCATATTTATTTTTGAAAAATTGTTAATGCAGTGGAATTAAAATGATGTACCAATATTTGATTGTGTTCCTTCTAGAGTACAGCTTCTCGTATGGCTTAGGAATATACCATTTCTTTATTTAGCTGTTTAATCTGATGGCAAATGTGTGTTGCCCGCTAGCAAACACGGAAGGTCAACAGACGGCACTTGCACGTACATTGGACACATTCAGAGTCGAGAATAGGAGTAATGAATAGAATGGATTTGTTGAATTACCCGCACCCCGCTTGTCTTCTCGCTATTAGTTGCATTCATCCGGAGACACTGATGCACAGATCACTGTTTACGCTGGGGTTCGCACTGTTCTCATCTCTAAGGCATTGTCATCGTTGGCTGACTGGATTTCCGTGAATAACCATTTGTGTGCCGCCCGCTTGACGTCAACGAATGTCGATTCACTAAGTAGGACAAGACGCGGTTTTTAGTGGTTCCCGCTTACGTCCCCAGCGACTGCAGTTCTGATGCTGCCAAAGACCTCTACCACGGACCGAACCATCTGCTTCGCAATGTTGCCAATACTGCGATAGCTGTTGCTGCAGGGGTTTGAATGTGCAACTACGACGTCTTGGCTCTTCAGAAGCTCAGCTAGGTGGTGAGTACTGGCTTAATCCTGAACGTACGGACAATGGCGATCGTCTGTTGCAATTGTGCGCGGAGCACCGGATATTTCTCAATAGCACCGCTTTTAGACATAGTGGACACTGAAATGCCACGTGGCGTCACCCTATGGCTATCCAGCGATGGACCAAAAGTGCTCAAGACAAGCGAAGCTTTATACATCCGTGTGGAAGCATTTTCAACAATAAGTTAGAGGTGGCGTGAACCCATCCTAGACTGTTGCTGGTTCTGGAATACTTGCATCGTCTTTGATCTTGCTTTGGTATGCTGTCATTTTTCCATCAACACTAACAAGAGGCACACCAAGCGTCTCCTCCGCTTGGCAACTGAGGAGTTATCCCAGCCTTCGGTCAGGCAAGTCTACTAAAATGCACGGCGTACTGAACTTTTGCTCTCTTGTCTTAATGACACCAACCTTTAATGGAATATAATCTCGGCTTCAATGAACGACGCGGGAGCCTCTGTTTGTGACACTATCAATCATCGCCCCATCGGTCGACGAGTATCTGAAAGGTCGTTGAAATTGTTGGAATTCAGAAGAAAACCCTCAGCTGACTCAGCACAATGTACCCAGAAGGACTATTAGGCGCGAACTAAAGCGGTGTCTGCGTGCTGACAAGAGGCCTGGTGGACCAGTCGGGATAAGAAATGGAGGAGACGGGAGCAGTGGGCAATCATCGCATGCTCTTCGAAAATTCCCTCCAGTCTAACTTCTGTGGAAGTAGAGCCAAAGAGAGTGACACCACTGCGTGTACACTGCAACTCACGGAAAATCGATTGCATATTTGAAGTGCATTTTGCATCACACGTGGCTTCCAACGACCGAGCACATGAGAGAAGGGTCCTCTGTTGCGTATGTCGAAGTTGACTTAGGCAATCCGGATGGCTACACTGAGGAGTTAGTGACCGATTGCATCTGTACTCCTGTCAATCGTCCGGTTCTTGATGGTGTCAGCCCATGGCACCATGACGGGTGCTCCAGCGGAGTAAATGCGGAAACTCTTTTGCCTGGAACTCACACCATGCATGCCCATCGGTTTCTCGCTGTCTTACAACCGCCGCTGGTGACCTCCTCGGGAAGCGACAAAAAGGGGCTGATGGAAAGTGATATGGCAAAAGGTTCGTGTCGTTTTCGACACAAGGAATCTGAGGAGAAGCATGTGCAAGACGAACGGCGTTCCTCCAAAACACACATCCCAGAAAATTACAGAAGCTACACCGGTGCTTTATCCGATTTCGAAGCACAACAGACACTCCTGTCTTCCACGAAGGATTACAGTCTACCGACAACAATGTGCGATTGGCTGCCGTCAAACGAAGGCAAATCCATCCTAGCCGATTTACAAAGATATACCACAGCACTTGTTCACGATAGCTCGATCAGCCGTGCAGCTAGCATAAAAATTGTCGGCCAAACGACACAATTACTGGATCGAATTCAAGCAGGATCTGAACGATTTTCCAAGCGACACGACAGTTTACTCACGCAGATAGAGAAGCGATCTCAAGTGAACAAACGGCTCCGTGCTAAGATAAGGTCATTGCTTACCATTCTGCAAAAAGTAAAATTGGACATGTATGAAACCGGAACAGACCAATAAAAATAATGTAACATTGTTTTTGACTTTGTCCTGAAAAAACAGACTATAAGCTATCAGAGCTTCTTCCTATCAAGGCTGTGTCACGGGGTTAGTATGTGCTCATCTTGAGTTCTTGTCGTACAACAAAGAGGCCTGTTGTACTGGAATATTCGAAGCATACACACATTCCACACAGTTAAAAAACAAGTTTGACATTCGAAATTAAAGCTATGAAGAAAACACTTTACAATTAACCACTGACATGTATGCTCCTCGGAAGTTAAACGATCACAAGATGGGAAACTGTGTAGTCTACAAGAAACAAAAAATACGCGGTCGCAAGTAAGTGGGAAAGAAAACGCAGCCGCGATTCTTCAGGACATGATATTGCGCGGTAGCATCTTAACACACAATGACTTAGCTGCCAATGGCATAAGAGACATCAGCAAAGTATATATATATATATATATATATATATATATATATATATATATATATATATATATATATGCAACAGTCTACGGATAGACATGGACCCATCAAAGAGCACGGAACTCGAAAGAAGGCACAGATATTGTAAAAGAAACACAACAAATAGGTGTCCATCTTTTCGTCAGAGGAAGAGATACTACCCGGTTGCCCAAGCCGAGGTAGAGCGTTGATTTAGGGGACACCACCCTGAGCCTTTGGCCGAATAGCCTGCTCGCAAGGCAGCGCAGCGAATTCAGGGAATCGCGCCCACGGGGAGCCGGTGACTGATTGCTCAGTTCATACGCCTTGCCTTTGTTCGTTTGCCAAACAGGGGCCCAATGCTGCCCACAACTTCAGCATTAAGTTGCTGGAATACAATGCTTCGCCGGTATACAGCAAGGAGCAATGACTTTAGGTAGTGGAGGGTCCCATGCGCTACGTCGCAGTGTTTTTAAATGGATATATGTGGCGTTTTATTGGGAGAATGCTTGTCAGGCGGAAACTCACCACGTCCTGGGACACAGCTGCCGAACATGTTGCTGGAACGGGATTAACCCGAATCACCTAGCTGGAATTACGAGGTGGTTGTTCGGCAAGCTAATCCATCAGCAATGCGCCGATAAGTCGTATCGACTTTTCGCGGTAACGCAACCACCACCAGTCGCGCATGGGCTAAGGATACTGCGAGTGTCGCCCGCTCCCATATGCAGGCTCGAATATGCGTCTTGCAAATTACAAGGTAGATGCGTTGTGCTTTCAGATATGGACCCGCAGTGAATAATCAGTAAAGTACATTATATATAGCCGTGGCGGAGCTGTACGCTATCTGGTGCGTCTCCAGGTTGCGGATCAGGGAATACCTTCTTTGTGAAGGTAACTGCCAAAAAGTCTCGTTTGCTTTGCACGCGAGACGAATAAGCAGTCGCGGACAATCAGCGGTAGCGTCTCAGAGCCTGGGGAGTTTTGGGCAGGACACCTGGTTCTCCATTAAATACCACAAGTGCTCGTACGGCGCTGTGCCAAAGCCCATGTGACCGGCTATAGGGTCACTGACCACTTACTCCTGTAAATGGAGGTGAGTATCTAACGAAGGGCGGATGAACAACCTTGCTGGCCACCGGCTTCTCTTTGGACTGCTTCCGAACACAAAGAAGACGAATGAGCCACTTGGCTGTCAGCGATTCTCGTGAATCACCCCCGCTACCTTGCGGGTAAGGTCTTTAGACCAAAGGCTCGGGGAGGGGTCCCTTAAGTCAACCCTCTGCCTCGGCCTGGGCAACCGGGAAGCTCAATACCCACACAACACATGGAACTTTGCTTCCATGCCTCAGACTCACTCTCTCCTTTTTGCTATTTTTACTCATGTTTTGTGACACTCTGCCTAATGTTAAGTGAGCAAGTGTTAAATAAAATACATGCGTTATATATAGATATACGGATGCTAAAGTTACAAGACAACTTTTAGCATCGCAGTAAAAGTTAAATACTTCCATTGGCAACGTGGTATGGCAGAGTTAGTCGCAGTGAACTCAGGGGTAGTTATTTGTGTGACACAAAAGTTTGTTGTAGTGACACGTGTAAAAGTTTCACTGAGTGCTCACAGGGGTCAAAAGTGGCCTGCGCCATGCCGATCGTACCTTACGTATGCTGTGCGCAACATTACTGGGTACTGTCTGTGTTCATCTAGGACAGCAATGGAAAATATCCCGTTGTATTAAGCCTACCGTATGAAGGCAAAACGTTAAGTGCTGACGCTGGGTTTAGATGTCGTCAGTCTCTGGAGCATTCCAAACCGATGATTCAAAGATGAATAACACAACTGGCGCGAAACCCATGAGGACATGGTGTGAAAGCTGGTTCGATGAGAGAGTGGTATGAAAACATGTTTTGCTTTAACTGTCATGCTAACTATTTTAGTCACGACCGGGAATGTTGGGTAAATACGCTTCGATTGAGTATGGAAATGGTGACCGCGGTTACATCCTGATCCGGAAAACAAAATGTCGCTCAGCATAGTACTTGGAAGGTTTGTTAAGGAATTCACGGCTCATACCATCTACAAAATAATACTATCATGCAGCAGATTAGGAGTGCGTGTGTTTACAATAAATAAACCCACCGGAGCTCAAGTAAAATTCCGAGCGACCGTAATTTACCAATGAACAGTGGCGCAGCCATTGTGTCCTCAGTGACCCATCCTAACTACTGATTGAAGTGTAATCTGAGATAGTGATAGCGGTATTCATTCCAGTTATACATATATATGCATATATATATGTAAGAAAAGACATCAAGCAGTACAAAATCATGGAATTGGGAATCAAAGCAAAGGAGAAAGTGTGTAACACTTGGAAAAGGGAACGATACTTGGGAGAAATAATTTGCACAATTTTGCACCTTCTTCATTTGTGAGAAGTCAGGTTTTGAAATCGGGAATGCACCCAAATTGACGTGCTTTCTTCCACTGCATCCGCTTATGCGCCATTTTCTGGGGCCTTCTGAGAAACGGGCATTCTTCGTCTTTGGGTCCCCAACTGAGCAGACGTACTGAGGCGGCAATGGTTAGGTAAGACCTCGGTGTTTGCATGCTTTGACGCCAGGTGGTCGGCTGGTCGCCACGCAGATTCTTATAATGTGGCTCTGCGAGCGTGAATAAAGTGCGGCTGGGCAAACGCTCATCAGGCATGCATAGGATGTGAGCAACCCATCTCAATTGGCGTACCAGAACAAGCTCACAGAGAGGGAGAACCATGGTGCCCAAGACACGGTGTTCAATCTCATCATTGTGCACTCGATGTTACCATCATACAAGGGTGATCCTCAGCTAACAGCCACTGTTAAAGACCGAAAGCCTACTCAATTCATATACACGGGGTTGCCAGCATTCACATACGTACAACAGCAACGCGCGGACACCCGCATACCAGATCATGCCCTTTAAGGAGAGCGAAATGTTTCGATAACGTCAGAGATGCTTCAAGCTGGCACAGGCCGACTGCGCATTTGCGCTATGAAGTGTTGCGGTCGTCAGAAATGCAGCGCCATAGGTGGACAAAACTGTCTACGTGTTCGAACTCTATGTATTCGTTAGCGAGCTGAGGTAAGGCAACTGTCAATCCTGTAACAGCCATTTACACTTAGAGGGAGCAAGGCATATACATGCCTAGACTCTCCAACCACCAGTCGGTCAAGGATCAGTTGCATGAAATGAGAACTGTCACTGAACAAGGCGATACCAACAGCGCAATCTTGATCCATTGTGGGTTGCCCGAGAAGGAGCTCAACACAAAACTCTGAAGCCCAAAAGAATATCTTTGGTCGCACTGTTGAAGGGGACAGGGCATACTTGTCACATACCACTTGTGACAGGGAAGAGCGCAGAAAGCATGGAGTTATATTGCCCGGTGTATAGCGACGTGCTTTTCGTGAACGCCATTCTTTATCAGGCATCGCCTTATGGCAGGTCGGTCTGCTGAGTCGAATGCAGCCTGAATGACTAAGAAGGCGATGATCGTGGGCTTGCGACAGAGCTAACGACGTTCAAGTAGTACATGAACTTCGCTCAACTGACATGATCCCTTGAGCTGCGCCCGATCAACCTCACGATTATGCCAAGGTAAGTCATGTAGCTTAGAGCCTCCCAACAAGCTTCTTCCAACACAATTCACGAAAATGCCGTAGCATTGTTAAAAAGCGTTACTTCTGAAACCGTGGACTTCAGTGATGCTATACCATACCTACCTGAACCTGCGAAGGTTAACAGGTGTCCCGTCTATAAACTACTGTGAGACTTTACGATAATACGATAGGAAAGTATGAGCAAAAGAGACAAGCGATCAATTGGAGAGTTAAGCCTGGAGGCAAGCGATCACAAAATGCTAAAAAATACGTGGTGAAAACTCGTTGTAGAGTCCGGATGCAAGTTTCATGAAATCGGCTTGACTCATAAATCATCCGCAATGACAGGCATACAATGGAAGGAGAGGACAATCCGTAATATTAATGTGACTTACAGTCCGGGGCTATTAATGCTTCAAACTCGAAATTTCCCGAATCTCTTTGGTGCCGACCACAGTTAGAAGGCAGAGCTAATTTTCGTATAGCATTTATGTACCGCGCCAAATTGAAAACCGGAAACGGGATACCACATTTTGGCCTCTCTCCTACTCACTAGAAAGGAACACACCACTTGACCATAGGGAACATTGATAAGAAACCCCTACCACAACCAGAGGACTATTCTAAGCCAAGCTGCATTGGCCGTAGAGAGTGTTCCGCGTTAAAACACGCCGCATTGCACACTTAATTTAGTACAGGTAACAAGTCCTTTGCTGGATCTTGCGCTTACAAAAAGAGCAACTATGACTCATGTATTAATTGTACAAGCAATAAAAATAAAAATGGTAATGTGTGTTCTCAGCTGGTAACGTCTGAAAATTTTTCACAAAATGCTTTGCTACTTGAACACTACGTTACATTCAATGCGATGACCATCATATGTATGGCAAGTCCCGAAAGTCCGGTCCATCAACTCTATTAATTCGGAACAAATGGTTATTTCATTTGGTGTGAGGTAAAGCACACTAAATTGCCAACTGTACAATAGTACAAGGTGTGTTATTAATCATGTCCGGACCTAGGAGCGGATGCACTCAGCTGCTGACGTACCCTGGTACGCTGAATTGCTAACTGTCCAATGTCGCAAATTGCCTTGCCGGTAGGGGTGAGTTGGGTACAGAGGCGCGGTATGTGTGTCTAAGATC